GTTGGTTGCTTGTTTGGTTGGTTGGTTGGTTGGTTGCTTGCTTGCTTGGTTGCTTGCTTGGTTGCTTGGTTGCTTGTTTGTTTGTTTGTTTGTTTGTGCTAGAGTAGTCTATTTCAGTGGTGAATATTTAGAAATCTGTGAAGCCCATCATACACCTCTCCTCTGCTCCTTGCATGTCATACTCTATCCTGGCCTCCACTTATTTCTTTCCTTCCTGTTGCCCCTACCTCTCCTGCCCCATACTCCTATAGAACTCCGCCTTCTATCCCTTAACCTCCACCCTCCCCTCCACTCCCTTTGTACTACTAACAAATACATATGAATGAGCATCATTAAGAGAACAGACGATATGAAGATAAAAAATGAAACGAACGGAAGTATGAAGATGAAGGACAGACACAAAGACTGTATAAGCTGAAGATCTGAAGTGAAATGAACAGGAGTATGGAGCTCTGAAGAGATGCACAGGGGCATACCTTCCCTTTTACTCTGACTCCTGAAATAACGCACAAGTGGGCCGTGAAGGCTCATGGGGATGTGGGCAGCTGCCGCTCAACCACAATCAATGTGGGCAGCCTTGTGCGTAACAGGCACAGTAAAAGGGGAGCTGCAAGAACAATGAAAGGGGTACCCCAAGGACAACCAAAAAACTGTTTTATTATAAAATTGCTTTAATATGTTGGACATCTCAAATGCTCTCGTTGTCTGCAATAGGACAAACTGCTTTGATTCTGAATCTATTCACCTGGGTGGATTTGGGGCTGTTGTGGGGAAAATCTAAAACACACACACACACACACACACACACACACACACACACACACACACACACACACACACGCGCGCGCGCGCACACGCACACACACGTGGGGGGGAGAGAGAGAGAGAGAGAGAGAGAGAGAGAGAGACAGAGAGAGAGAGAGGTCTTTTCTGGGAGGAAGTTGTTCATTTCTGTCAATCATACTGGCGCTTAATCTATCGATTGTACTGAGGTGTTCTTGCTTTATTTCGTCCATTATGCTGGGGCACAAACAAAAGGTATTTCCCTTTCTTGATTACCATGTGGTGGCTGTGGATTTGGAGTGTGTCTCGTGTTCTCCCACATTCGGGGAAAAATGTTTGTCAATGCCTCGTTCCTGGCCAGTTGAGCATCCTTGAATAGTTATCTGTTCGTGGTTCTTGGGAGGTGGGAAGGACCAGGCAATTAGCATCTGTCTTGATGGGTCTCTTATCATCCCTGCTATACCGTGCTGCTGCACTAGGACTCTTGAGAACGGCTATGAATCGGATTAACAGGGTAACCACTGCCGCTGTTGGAAAACAGTGCCAACCATGAATTCAGTTGCAGTCACTGCTTTTGTCAAAGCGGTGTCTACCACAGAGTCAGTTGCAGTAAAAAATGATCAATTCTGTGCATGGAAATTCGGGTGCAAGCTAAAGTATAGGTGGTCTGCTTTATGACACATTGTTTTGCACGGTCTGCCTCCATGCATGATATGGACTTCCATTCTTGCTGAGACCTGTGTTTTCATGTCTTTTCGCCTCTTGGCAACGTTTCAGTTTTGTCGTGACTTGATTTCTTCATTCTCAGAGGGTAGTGTTTCTACATCACTGGGTGGTCTTCTTGCTTTGCTGACTGTACCTTTTACTCAGGTCCTTGTTGTTTGTGGCTTGGTCTGCAGGTTGAAGCCCTCCAGGAGTTGTCTGAGTGCCAACGCAGTCTGGAATCTGCCTTAGAGGCTAATGCAAGGATGGCGAGGTTCGTTAATTGGGTAGCTGGGTAATGGGCTTTTGTTGCCCCATTTTTCTCCAGGAAGCCTTAAGTCTTTCGCTGTCAGTGTTGTCTGGAGCCATTGGTCGAAAATTGTTTAGCTATTCTGTTATATTGGAGTAGACTTGCTTTTTTCTTGGTCCCTTATTCACCTTGTCGCAATTATGCATTGTCAAAGACTGGGATGTTGTGGGAGAGCAAAAGAAATGGCCATCCAGTATGATTTGTGTGCTGCTTCATCGTTGGCAAAGAAAAAGGGGTTAATCTGGTTTATTCTCATTGCATTATTCATTCCGTCCGTTTCCTCTGGTTATTTGCTCATTCTACCTGTTGTGCAAACCAGTTATTTATCACAGGTTTAGTGGTTTGGTGGAGTGCCAGAATTACAATAGCCCTCTATTTATCACAGACTTAGTGGCTTGAAGTGTCAGACTTATGATCACCGTCTACTTATCACAGATTTAGAGGTTTGATGAAGTGTCAGTAGTATGATAGGCTGATATCCTTGTTGATTTGCTGATATGGTTACTTTGAGCTCATCAAACCGTGCAATGGGGCTTAACAAAAGCGTCAGGGAGGGAGACTGCAGATAATTATGTTCTTTGGTTATGGTGTTTGATGTGTGGTGATGTGTGTATGCTTGTAAGCAATTGAATCTGGTTTCTTGTAGCTCTGGGAGTTTCTGAAATCCTCTCTCATTCTGGTGCTTAGGGGAAGCGTCACGGAGGGAGACTTACGATAATTATCTAGTTTCTCGTAACTCTAAGAGTTTATTAGATCCTCTCATTCTGGGGCTCAAGGGATGCGTCAGGGAGGGAGACTCTAGATAATTCATGTTCTTTGGCCAATATGATCTTTAATGTGTGATGATGTGTGTATGCTCGTAAGCGATTGGATCTTTATTTCTTGTATCTAAGAGTTTATTAGATCCTCTCATTCGGCTGGGGAGAATTGTTCGAGGGATTTCAAGAGGTTTTGAGGGAGTTCCGCCTTCACTTTGTTCAGATGTTGCATACTAGATCATGCAAAACAGAACAAGGACCGACCTTTCAGTTCAAAGTACAAGATGGCGAGCGGAAGACTTATCAATGATCCGACTCAATCAATGTTGCAGTACAGTCCCGACATTTATCATCATCATACAGTGGTGTGAAGGGCTGGCGCTCACACAGAATAGATAGCGCCAGACCCCAACATACACAGACGAAGGGGGAAGGGAAGAGACAGAGGGAGAGGAGAAGATGGGAGATATCGTCAACTCCAAGTCTGCGTYACAGGTCCCAAATAATCCTCAACGAAAGTATGTATCCCGGAATCAAGTCTGATGACAATGTCGTCATGTCCCGTGTCAAAGCTCCATCTCGTAGCCCATAGATGCTGAGAGGCAGGCAGCGGGAGGGGAAGAAGAGATGGTGGACTTAGAAGAGGAAGAAGAAGGTC